TCCTGAAGCCCTTCAACGCCTCTCACGAGACTGAACTACACACAGACGCAAGTGCAAGGGGGATTGGAGCAATGTTACTACAACGGGATGATGGAAACGATCTTCGACTGGTGTATGCCATTAGTCGACGAACAACAGAACCAGAGCAACGATATCACTCATCCAAGATGGAATTATTGGCCATCGTCTGGTCAGTATCACGATTGAGACCAATGCTCATCAATGTACACTTCAAAATTATCAGCGACTGTCAGGCTCTCGTGTACCTGAACACCATGAAGAATAACAACGCACAAGTGGCAAGATGGTATACCACATTGACAGAATTTGACTTTGACATCGAGCACCGCCCAGGCACAAAAATGGCTCATGTCGACGCTCTCAGTAGAGCACCCGTGGAGCCAGCAGAAGATGAAACTATTGCTGAAGCACGACTCGATGGTACGTTTACCATCGTGGAAGAACCAGAAGAAATATTGATGTATCAGCATGGAGACGAGTTGTTATGCAGACAAGCTGAAATTTTGGGGAAAAAAGAAAAGGACAGAACGAAATACGAGAAGAGTGAAGTAAATGGGTACGAATTGTATGAGGGAATCCTCTACAAAAGACGAGGAGAAGAGTTACTGTTCGTAATACCACGAGCCATGCGTAAGAGCATGCTAGTCCGACACCACGACCTTCAAAGTCACCAAGGTCTGAAACGCACTATCACCAAGATAACAGGACGATACTACTTCCCAGGAATACGCAGGTATGCCAAACAACACATTCAATCGTGTATCGCGTGTATTAAGACCAAATCGAAACCAGGACGACAGCCTGGGGAACTTCATCCTATCCCACCAGGTAATAGACCATTTGCTACTCTTCATATCGATCATTTGGGACCATACGTCACCTCCAGCAGAAAGAATAAATATGTATTGGTTATGGTCGATAATTTGACGAAATACTGCATGCTGAAGGTAACACGAGACACGAAAGTAATGAATGTAATTAGAGCTCTAGATGAATTTGTGCTTCTGTTTGGAGCTCCAGATCGTATTATCAGCGATAGAGGAACATGTTTTACAGCTGAAAAATTCACTGAATTTTGCTGCAGGCACGGAATAAAACATGTATTGAATTCGCCCAGACACCCGCAGGCAAATGGGCAAGTGGAAAGATTGAACGCCTCAATCACTCCAGCGATCCAAGTCAATCTCCAAGATGAATTTGGAAGAGATTGGGATACTCGACTGAAGGAGATACAACGAGATCTCAATGAATCAATTAATAAGACTACGGGGAAGAGCCCCTTTGAAGTTCTGCATGGGTATGTTCCACGACACGATGAAGGAGTTTTACGAGATCTAACTCATCCATCAACTGATAAATATCAATTGCCGCAACAGCTCCAACAAGAGGTTCGTCAAGTAATCCTGAGAGAACAGGATAAGTACAGAACACGCTACGACAGTAATCGCCTCAGAGGAGTCAAGTATGATGTGGGAGAGATTGTTTTCATTAAAAAGCCTCCAGATGCTACTAGAGAAAGCACGAAGTTACAATTGAAGACGAGAGGACCATTGATGGTCACGAAGGTACTGTCAGCAGACACGTACAGGGTGGCTGATTTGAATACTGATAAGGGAGGACGTCAGTATGCAGCTACGGCTCATGTCAGTCAGATGAAACCGTGGAAGCCCCACGAGGAAGACGAAACATCTCCAGGTCCAAGTAGTGGAGACGAGAGTGAGATAAATCCAGGGAGTGGATTGAAAGAAGATAGAGCTGGTGCAGAGATTCGAGTGCCAGGAAAACGAAACAGAATCAGTGAGGATTCTGACGAGGTCACTGAGACAATTGAACTCAGTGGAGATCAGCCAGTGAATGATGGACAGAGGCAGCAGAGTGACAGGAGACGAATGTCAACGAGAGAACGTAGGAAACCTCAACGATACACCTACACATGAGGGGCTCGAGGACGAGCCATTACAGGAGGGCCGAATGTTAGCGCCTGAACGATAACGCCCGAAGTAACCCGAAAAACGTATTCGGGGATGACGGGATGAGAGTCAGGGGGTTGTGTGTGTGTGCTACCGGTGGAGACGGTCGCCATTCCACGTACCAAGTCACGCTTAATTTTGATTTACGATAAAGTCCATTAATATGAAACGAATTTATTATTTTGATTATTACAAACAATTATTATTTACGTCATAAGTTCACAAGTGAGTTCTGTGTACTTTAAATATCTACTTATTAAATAACATCTCTAAATTCAGGGGTTTATTATTGACGTTGAAACCTAACCCCAACGATCCTGGCAACGTGTAAAACGTTAAGAGAACGTATCCTGAAACATTGACAATTACCGAAAGTAATTTTTCTAACATTGAAACAAGTCAGGATAATTTCCAAAACGTTTCTAACATGCCTTTAATTCCACTGAAAAATTATTGGCTTCCAGTTACAGTGCAATAAGATTTGCTGGGGTAGTGAACAATTCCCTACTGATTATTACTAATAAGTTTTTGAGTAACCAGAGCAGAGTCTCGAATAGGATTTAAAAGGTCCCCCATTAAAACTGATTATTCATTGGGAGGCAAAATGATGGAATAATAAATAGTTTGTTAGAGCATATAGAGAGAGTGATAACGGTGATACGCCTTTAATTCCATTGAAAAATTATTGACTTTCAGTTACAGTACAATAAGATTTGCTGGGGTAGTGAACGATTCCCTACTGATTGTTAATAGTCAGTTTTTGAGCAACCAGAGCAGAGTGTCGAATAGGATTTAAAGGGGTCCCCCATTAAAACTGATTATTCATTGGTAGGCAAAATGATGGAATAATAAATAGTTTGTTAGAGCATATAGCGAGAGTGATAATGGTGATACGCCTTTAATTCCATTGAAAAATTATTGGCTTTCAGTTACAGTGCAATAAGATTTGCTGGGGTAGTGAACAATTCTCTACTGATTGTTACTAATAAGTTTTTGAGTAACCAGACCAGAGTCTCGAATAGGATTTGAAGGGATCTCCCATTAAAACTGATTATCCATTGGGAGTCGAAATGATGAAATAATAAATAGTTGGTTAGAGCATATAGAGAAACTGATAACGGTGATACGCCTTTAATTCCACTGAAAAATTATTGGCCTTCAGTTACAGTGCAATAAGATTTGCTGGGGTAGTGAACAATTCCCGACTGATTGTTACTAATAAGTTTTTGAGTAACCAGAGCAGAGTCTCGAATAGGATTTAAAGGGATCTTCCATTAAAACTGATTATTCGTGGGAGTCGAAATGATGAAATATTAAATAGTTTGATAGGGGGATAGAGAGAGAGAGAGTGATAAAGGTGATACGCCTTTAATTCCACTGAAAAATTATTGGCTTTCACTTACAGTGCAATAAGATTTGCTGGGGTAGTGAACAATTCCCTACTGATTGTTAATAGTCAGTTTTTGAGCAACCAGAGCAGAATGTCGAATAGGATTTAAAGGGTCCCCCATTAAAACTGATTATGCATTGGGAGGCAAAATGATGGAATAATAAATAGTTTATTAGAGCATATAGAGAGAGTGATAACGGTGATACGCCTTCAATTCCATTGAAACATTATTGACTTTCAGTTACAGTACAATAAGATTTGCTGGGGTAGTGAACAATTCCCTACTGATTGTTAATAGTCAGTTTTTGAGCAACCAGAGCAGAGTGTCGAATAGGATTTAAAGGGGTCCCCCATTAAAACTGATTATTCATTGGTAGGCAAAATGATGGAATAATAAATAGTTTTTTAGAGCATATAGAGAGCGTGATAATGGTGAGACGCCTTTAATTCCATTGAAAAATTATTGGCTTTCAGTTACAGTGCAATAAGATTCAAGATTCAAGTTCAGACATGTCAAGTGGAGCCAGGTGTCAATGTTTGAAGAAGAACCGGAGCCCCTTCTATGATTTCTACAGCTGCGAATTAATTAAGCCCTTCACTCACCCCCTCGCGGGGTGGATTGACTAGGTCACCGAGAAGGTCCTTTGCAACGCAAAACCGCGAATTAAATTGATTAACCAGCGAATTAAATAACCCTTTCATCACTTCGAGGGAAAAAATCGGGAATTAATTAATCAAACCGCGAATCAAACTGCGACCACGCGAATCAAACCGCGAATTAAACCGCGACCTCGCGAATCAAGCCGCGAATTAATTAACCCTCTCATCACTTCCAGGGAAAAATCGCGAATTAATTAATCAAGCCGCGAATTAAAACGCGAACCCGCGAATTAATTAACACTTTAATCACTTCGAGGGAATAACCGCGAATTAATTAATCAAACCGCGAATTAAACCGTGACCCCGCGAATTAATCAACCACCCTCCGACCGACTTTCATCTGACCCCCCTACTGGGCCCCAACGACCAGATCGACGCCAAAAACGTTGTGCCAGAACCCGCATTATTACACCACTACCAAGTACTCCTCTCTCTACAAATTACTGTGCATAACAGCAATTTGTCAACGTGTTGTTGCTCGGATGAGGAGGAAACCAGGTGAAACTCTCGTGGATCCACTCAGTCCTGATGGGATCGAGGCAGCTAGGCTGTATTGGGTCAGAGCCACTCAGGCTCATTATCGGCAGTCGGAGTGCAGCATTATTTATCGTGGTCAACAACTTGGGAGGTCTCATCCGTTCACCAAACTGACTGCCTTTATAGACCATCAAGGTGTTCTCCGAGTGGGCGGGAGATTGAGGTTCTCTAACCTGCACCCAGAGAGTAAACAACAAGCGATCGTCCCTTAAGATTCCGAGCTGGCTGAACTTCTCATTAGGGACTCTCATCAGCGAACGTTGCATGGTGGAACTCAACTCACGTTGACGCATCTCAGCAGGTCTTGATGGATTATTGGAGGAAGAGCGCCAGTAAGATCCTTCATTCTCAAGTGCGTGGAATGTGCCCGCCAACGTGGAGTACGTGCTCAGCAACTGATGGGGCAGCTTCCACCGGCACGTATGTCTCCAGGACGTGCCTTCTCTAACACTGGTGTAGATTACGCTGGACCAGTGTCCATCAAGACATTGAAGGGGCGTGGTCATAAAACCCAAAAGGGTTGGTTAGTGATCTTCGTTTGCATGGCCACGTCAGCACTTCATCTGGAAGCTGCCACCGACTACTCTGCTGATGGGTTCATCGCTGCCTATCGGAGATGCGTGAGTCGTCGAGGTCATTGCAGGAACCTCTTCAGGGATTGTGGAACGAATTTCGTTGGTGCAGACAAGGAGTATAAGAGGTTGTTCTCTGCTGGATCAAAGGAGTTCCAGCATATCTCAGCAGTTTGCCTGCAAGATGGTACTCGGTGGTCTTTCAATCCACCTGGGGCCTCTCATTTTGGAGGAAAATGGGAAGTAGCGGTAAAATCAGTGAAGTATCATCTCTCTCGAATGATTCGGGATACTGCACTGACGTTCGAGGAACTCTCTACACTGCTTACCCAGATTGAAGCTGTGCTCAACTCCAGACCTCTACAGGCTCTGGATTTTTTGATTGGAGAAGCTTCAATAGCTCTAGCGGAACCTTCACTGGACCATCTCAACGTTGGACGGCTGTCAAGATGGCAACTGATTCAGCAGAGGCTGCAGTATTTCTGGAAGCAGTGGTCTACAGGATACCTGCAGCAGCTTCAGTCCATATCCAAGTGGCATCATCCGTCCAACGATATTCGCATCGGCTCTGTGTTTCTGCTCTCCGATGAGAGGTTCCCGCCAGCGAAGTGGCCTCTAGCTCGGGTCACAGCTCTACACCCTGGGAAGGATGGTCTCTCCAGAGTTGTGACCATCAGGACAGCAACGACGACATTAATTCGGCCGATCTTCAAGCTGGTTCCGTTGCCAAACTCTACCAGCTGATTTTGAAGCTGGTCTCTGTTGACGTTGTTGATCTTCTCTGTTTAGTGTTGCAGGCTCTATCATGGCTTCCTCGAGAACCTGGTCACCAACAAGTTGCTGACGGGTGGAGAATGTTGAGGCTTCAGCCTCACGTCACGGCAGGTTGGTTCGCTGACCACGAGCAGCAGCGCCTCCTGGACACGGACCTGGGTTACCGACCGTGTCCAATTAATTGGGACCGACGACACCTGCCGCGACACTTGCCCCATCTCGTNGTTGATTTCCCCTCCTCTTTTTCATTATCCACAGAGTAATTTTTTCGTTTCTCGGCTCTCGGCGTTCGCCCTCTTTTCTGCCTCTCCGTGGAATGGGAAGAATTCCTATGATCCCCCCAATCATCGACTCTTTTTTCCAAGATTCTGAGGAATTCCCCAACTTGCCAGTTCCCCTTTCTATTTTTAACTAAATGTTTTATAATTTCAAAATAGTTTTCTACCGCCGCATTGCTGTCCCATGTTATATCAAATTGTTTCATAAAAAATGAGCACCATAGACCTTGTTGAGGCTTCAGCCTCACGTCACGGCAGGTTGGTCCGCTGACCACGAGCGGCAGCACCTCCTGGACACGGACCTGGGTTACCGACCGTGTCCAATTAATTCGGACCGACGGCACCTGCCACGACACTTGTCCAATCTCGTCACTTCCGCTTTCTTCTCTAATCGCCTCGTGACAAGTGTGCATCGTGCCATTCTCTCTCCGCGACTACATCGTGAATTATTGTGAATATCTCCACCGGGCAAACTCCATTACTCATTCTAAATTAACTGTCAACGGTTAATTATCATTGTGACGCGGACATTTTTTTGACTTTGTGTATATGTTATGATAAATATAGACTTTTATTGTGACTCTACCCACGCGCACAGTGACATTTACTTTTTGGGGAACTTCTCAACCCTTTCCCGAATCCCGGCTCTCCATCGGTTTTTTTTTGTTTAACTCTCGCCGAAACAGACCTGCATATGGGAGGATGTGATTGATCAGATAATTGAAAAATTTAATAAAATAAAAAGGATTGGCTTCTAATTCTTCTGTTGGTGTATCGCGGATATAATCATTAGCATTATTGTTATTTTCTTCATAAATTTTAAAAAAGAATTTATCCAAACGGCGAATCCTTCCGGGCTCTACTGTCGCAGATAGAATCATCCTCTGTGTCACCGTTAAATTTTTCACATTGGTCATCTTTTGTTTGTTTGTTCATTTTTCAATTACTTTTCTGAGGGATATTTTCGCTATCAGTAGCATTCTCTGCATCACAATAACTTCCGCCGTCAAGGTCATTTTCGTCACTCTTTTCTGGATATTTACATTTTCCGTCGGTAGTAACAAACTTCGAGTAATATTTTTCGTACACGGAGAGAAATTTTTGGTAAAAATTATCGTGAAATCCAGGTAAAAATTACCCGGATGGAAGGGTAATTCTGTAGCAGTGTATTTTTGGACCAATAAATATCCTTGGTGTGGATAAATTTTAATGAACATTTCCGGATAATATTTGTTCTTATCTGAGTAAAAATTGCCAGTATGCGCGGATAAAAATTATTACATATCTTGGTAGTTTTTACAAATATCTGGATAAAAATTACTGTTCTAGAATTGCAAAAAATACTAACCTTATCTCAGATTTCTTCCACGCAGAGGTTAATACTCCAAAACACTCGAGTGTTACCGACAGACCTCAAAGTGTTTTTACCACGAGACATTCTACTGGCAGAATTTATTGTTTGGAAGGGTAAAAAGTGTCGCGCCCATCTGGGTATTTTTTTATGCGCACGATGGGTATAATTAAATAGAGTTGGGTGAATAAAAGTTATTTCATTAATTTTATAATAGGTACCAGGATAACTATAATTTTTATCATTCACATGGATATTATCTGTCTTTGTCTATATACATTTTGACAAATGTATTGACAATTTCTGGTTCCTTCGGCGAAAATTACCATACGGAAGGGTAAAATTTATTTTACATATGATAAATTTTATTATTTAAGATCAATTTTTGTCGAATTTCCGGATGTAAATCAGACGAAAAATTTCAATAATACACATTTATCCTTCTGGAAGGATAATTTTTGCGAAAAATTTTTCTCCGTGTATTGTGGTATTTTATATTTCAGTCGGAATATGGCGATAAAAGATTTAAAATGCTATGCAGCATCTTCCAACGTTTGAGAATGGATCAATTCACTAACAATACGTGGAACAACTCTTCTTTGCTCGTACATTGGGCAATATTTTTTCGCCTTCCTTATAATTTTTCGTAGCGTGTGGGTAGAACATATGTGGAATATTGTTTGATCCTCAACTGTCTCGCCTGCTTCTAATTCGTTATAAATCTTCCTCAAATAACTATTTACATCCATTTGGTGAAAAGCAAGTATGAGTGCTGTAAAGCCTGCAGCACTGAAGTCTGCTTCAACTTTGGAAAATATTATCTTCCGCTTCGTATATTGTTTCAAATCACGCAGATATGAAAGAAGAGGACCGGCCTGATCGGGAATTGCATGACTGTCTGACAAAAAATGTAATAAGGGTATTGGAATATATTCTCTCTCAAGTAATATTAATGCGTAATACAGAATAATTTTTTGACTTGAATCTAATTGTTTTACGACTGAGCCAGTGGCATTAAAATACGCGAAAATGGGTTGGTCCAAGGAAAGCAAATAGTTAATTTGTTTCTCGGTATACATAATTACTGAAAATTTTCGCTGAATAAATTCAGAAATTTTCTCACCCTTCCACTTCGGGTCTTGCTCCCATTTTTTCATCATTTCATAAATGTCTACTAACGGATGAGGATCTAGTCTCTCGTTTAATCGAATTTCGTTGGCAATTTTAAAAATAACGCGTCTATCTGGTGCTCCATCTCTATTCCCGGATTCTTTACTTCGAATATGTAAACTTTTAAACAGTTTTCTCCGCAAAATACACGGTGCATCCTGTTTGCATGCATCGGCATTTTTTTCTATCGTCTCCCTTAATAAAACGCCTGTAACCCTCGCTCTTTTATGGTGAATTTTTTTAATTTGTCAAACCTAAACTTTTGTGTTTTTGAAGAGATTTTCAATGACATCAGGGATCACGCACCAGAATTTCGTACACTGGGTATTTAAATATTTCATCTCCGTCCAAAAATCATAAACTGCTTTTTTTGAATCCTTAGGATATCCGCGATAATGGTACACTTTGAAGGTGCAGCCTTTATATATATATCCCGTTTCCTCATATAGGATACAAAACCATTTCTCCAGCCCTTTTTTAAAATAAATTTCTTCTCCTTAATCACACTTCCTTCTTTATCTATTTTCTCAATTATTTTCACAGCACTCGATGTTTTTCAGAATTTTGCCGGCAAAATAAAGCTTTTATTGCGGATTCGAAACGGTGATGTTTTTTGAAGCTGCCTCATGATGTTTTTTTTTGCTACAAAGTTGAGCGTTCTTTATAATTTCGGGAAACGAATCGCGTGATGAGAATTGTGAATTACTCCTTCTCAAGGGAGTCTAAAGAGGACTCACATTATCATGCTCGGCCGCAGAAAGCTCACTAACTGTTTCCAGCTCGCTGGTATCGCGAACATCACTGGCAACATCTTCGAGATTCGTCGTAAAAGAGACCGAGGCAGAATTTGGTGATCGCGGGGGAGTGTTGACTTCCCCGGGGTTGCCCATACTTAGTGGTTCTTCAGACCCTTCTTCGTTTGAATTGTCATTGTAAAGGATGAATGAAGCTGGACATGAGAACTGATGCAAGGCAGTGTTACCAGCTTCAGGCCGTGGGTACTCAAGTTCTTTATCCTGTCATGTATGGAATTTATTTAAAAATTAATTCGATAAAATAAATTTATTTTTCAATAAGTCGGAATTATTCGTTGCCCACCGGATGTCAGTTGCTATCGAAGTAACTCAATTTACTCGGCAAACGCGCCACCATTGTCCTTGAGAATGGTCAAACCCGCGCATTCAACAAGAAAATGCATAGCATTTTCGCCCTTACAATTCTCTCTTTTAAAAGTATAAATCAGTGGCGTCTTAGATGCCAAAACCGCACGTCAAATAGCTCTGGCTCCTTAAGCTCTGCTCATGAACGTTACCCCGGAATCAGTTTATCAGTCTTGCCCGGCGTACGCGAGTCATACATGGACACATTGTAACCAAAAATCAACTAAAAATCATAGACTCTTAAGATAGATAAGATTATAGTGAAATAAGTGAATCAAACTCCACAACAACCTAAGTGAAATTCAAAAACCATTCAATCGAATCATCCACTGTTCTGGTCAACTATTCTGGATTATTTTAAACACTGGTTCGTACAAAATTAGGTGAAAAGATCGGTTTATTTTGGCCTTTTGTATTTTTCTTCATATTTTCTCAAAATCAATATTTCAAAATCTAGCTTCGTTCGAATTCTCTCTCTCACTCGTTTTCTTTCTTTGTCTCTGTGATGAGAATTTTTTAGTATCAGCAATAAACTAATCATTGGGTTTAATTCGAATCTTTTCTTGTCATTTCAATCCCCGAATTCATTATTATTATTCAAATATTATCAAATACTCAAATTATCGACATTAGACGCCTGAATGATTTATACAGATGCGCCTAGCACTTCAAAGTGTAAGGATCTACTAAATAAAAATAATTATTTTAAACATGTTAACTTGAAAATTCATCTAACTTATTTAATTTATGATTGAATTTGTTGAATATTATTTTCCTGTTACCACAGTAAAATTGGTGTCAGAAGTGGGATCCTTAACCTGCACTATCATTCAGTTTTCTTTTTGAAGTGTATTTGATATTTGATAATTCAATTCAAATTCCGCATTTTTCCAAGTTCCTTCAAAATTTATATTTTTATTATCGAAATATTTTTCGATAGGTCTCATCCATTTTTGAATGTAAAAAATTAACGTAAATTCAATATTCATCTTAAATTGATGTTTTCATTTT